ACAGAAGCTTCAAATTAAAATTTAAGCAATTAAAGTGTTCAGCTCACAAGAGAAAGTCCTAGTGTAAGCTTTGGCTCAGGCCTGTAATGACGTGAGCAAACATGGCTAGCAAAAGTCTAAAACCGATTCAGACAACTTTACTGGATGAAACTGGTTCGGAGAGGGTCAATGGTCACTCACGAAAGCTCTATGGTCAATGATTATGAAGTTGCTTATGTGACCTCAGATAGGGTCTTATAAGCTAGAGACAATCAAGCCTGTGAGGGCACATGACTTTGACGAGCTAACCGGTGAAACTCCAAGGACGATCAAGAAAGTGAGGTAAAGGTGAGGAGACTACTATCTCCTGTGCTTCAAGTATGCCAATGAGATGAAAAACAAGGAAAGACAGAAGTCCCACCAAGTAAGAAAACAAGTAAGTATCAGAAGTCCAAGCTAGTCTACGAAGTTGTAGTTTGTGAGCATGTGAGCATCAAATGGTCTGACCAAACTGTCTTCTGGAAAGATTTAGCAATTAAGGACTTCTGAAGAATTTGCAGCATCACAGCGAAGTCCAGTTTTGAAGAAACGCTTATTAAGTTTAGTAATGTGGTCCACTATAGAGTCGATTTTCAAGTCAACATGGATCAGTTTGTTTCTAACCAGGTAATGAGCATTTACAGTTTCTTGCATCTTATTCTGTGCTACGTAAAAGTTTGCGTTTGAGGCTGATGCCCAATCTGGAGACATGTAGCATAGAATTAGCCTTATAGTGCATAGGTTTAGTTCTACGTTTGTTGAGAAGTCCAGAGTACTTTCCGAGAAGTACAGAAAGTTGGTTGGCGATACTACAGGCTTTTCCTTTGACGTGCTTAATACGATAAGCCTTTACGTTAATGATAATCCTCAAAATATTTGCACAGTTCACAATATCCCCAAGTAAAAAGAGGTTGTTTAGTGCTATTTGCCGAGCCTTAGTTTCCTTAGAAGATATATAAATTTATTAAGTTGTTGAGGATTTTATCACTAGAGACATTGTTTTTATAGCAAATTTGGTATAAATGGTCTTGTGATACGTTTCCAGCAATGTAGTGACGCTGCTTGATATTACTTTTGTTAAATAGGTACTTTTTTTCTTTTTTAATTGGCCATTTTATTTACAACAGCCTAATATATGTAAAAATGGAGACTTGGTAACACGCCAGTTGCTCTGCCCCAATTTTTTTTGTATATATTTCAGTTTTTTACTCGTTTTTATCTGGGCGCTTATAATTTCTACATCTTATTGTACTCCCTTTGAGATTCTGCCCTTTCAAACTGGGAGCACACTATCATGGATTGCCCTACAATCGGAAATTTCTCCAAAACTGAAGGAGTTCATGCGAAGTATAGTTTATATTATGCCTCAGTGAATATACTAAATTTTGTGAGATATTAAAGAAGGATTGCCGAGATATGAAGTGCCAAGTTTTTTTCAACTTTTTTACCAGTAGATTTAAAAAGGGGCGGGGGTAATTGCAATTGCGGTATCGCAAAAACTGGTTTTTTTTTTTTCCCCCTCACCCGCTGTTTATCTGGGTCAGTAAAGGCCCCCAGTGAAAGTTATTTTATCAAACTGGAGAGTCATTTTTCAGGTCTTTAGATATAAATGTTTCGGCAAATAAAAGAACTAGAAACAACACGAGGACCGTAGTCGGTTTGCATTTTATTCCTGAATATGTAGACCAAAATGTCGTGTAAATGCATTGAGAGATTGCCGAGATATATGGCGTATTCGCTTATCATCCTTAAGCACGTATATGAAATTTCACGTATCTATCAAGGATTTACCGAGATAAACATTTCCACGAAGAAATAAGGTAGCAGAAATTCGATATGCGATATCTCGATAATCGTCAACTTAAAATTCTTTCTGCGTTAATTTTAGTTAAGTTAATTCAGACCCATCCATTGGATTTTTTCGTTTGCAGCTTGAACCATCTATTTTAACAAACAGAGGCCTTTTTTCTTTCAACTTAATACTTCACCACTTGGAAAAGTTCTTTTGTAGTCATCTAAATGTGTCCTTGTATTGCTACGTAGAAACTGCTAACTTCGAACGCTACCCTGTATCAACTTTGCATTATGAAATTGAAGACATAAAATGAAGAAGAAATTTAATATGCTTGCCGCAGAATCTCATTTCACTTCCTTCCTTTCGAGTTCGTGAGCTATTAATTGCTACATATATAGCTAAGTAACTATCATACATGTAATTAAGATACAATAACACGCTGATTTTTGTTGTTTGACTCAAACAACAAAAATCAGCGTAATATTTTTCTAGTTTTCACAGGACTAGTTCTGATGGTTTTACCGAACCATCATCTTCAGCTGCAAAAGCGCAAATGAACAAGATAAGATAAGAAAGCCTGGACAGGAGATAAGCTACTGGCGCCATCTGTTGATGAAACCAGAACAAAAATATAATTTCTTTAAAGTCTGAAGGCAAAGATGGATTGGGATTAGGGTCGTTAACTAGAACAGAAAGACTTTTTTGAATAATTTTGGCAGCAGAAAAATTTAAAGTGTGATTATCGGACCAACAATGTTGAGCAACAGAAGACTTCTGTGTTTCCTTTTTTCTAACATATGCCTCATGTTCCTTGACGTGAAATTTCAAGGCTCTCTTAGTTTGGCCAATATAAATTAAACCACACTGGCAAAGAATCCTATAAATACCCCAGGAATTCATATCCGGAATGGGGTCCTTGAGTATGGAACTCGGAATTTTATGGATGGGAGAATAAACGACCCGAAAGGTAAATTTCTGCAAAATATGTGCAACTTTATAGCTAATTGATGGAAAGAAGGGAATGACAACAGAATTTTTATAATCTCCTAAAACAAGAGTGTGCCTTTTGGTGTGTTGAGATGAGAGTTCCATACTCAAGGACCCCATTCCAGATATGAATTCCTGAGGTATTTACAGAATTCCTTACCACTGTGGCTTAATTTCCATTGGCCAAACTAAGAGAGCCTTGAAATTTCGCGTTAAAAGAACATGAGGCATATGTTAGAAAAAAGGAAACACAGAAGTCTGCTGTTGCCCAACATTTTTGGTCCAAAAATCACACTTTAAATATTTCTGCTGCCAAAATTATCCAAAAACATCTTACATTGCTGAACTGGATTTTCTAGAGGCATTTCACATTCAAAAAAATCTTTTTGTTCTAGTTAACGACCCTAATTCCAATCCATCTTTCCCTTCAGACTTTAAAGAAATTATATTTTTGTTCTGGTTTCATCAACAGATGGCGCCAGCAGCTTATCTCCTGTCCAGTCTTTCTTATCTTATCTCGTTCATTTGCGCTTTTGCAGCTGAGGATGATGGTTCGGTAAGACCATCGGAACTAGTCCTGTGAAAATTTGAAAAATATTAAGCTGATTTTTGTTTTTTGACTTCTAAATTAATATCATACATGTAGATTTCAATTTGCAATACTTGTTATAAAAATATAATGACTATTTTAAATAAGAGTTTCATGCAAATGCTTGCAATGATAAATAACAATTTTGTACTGTTTGCCGTTTTATTAAAGTCGAGTAGCGTGTATTATTTGTTTCTTTGGAATGCCTGATATCTGGCTAAAATAATAAAAACTATTTTTATAAATTTAATTGGCCATCTGATAATATTATGAATACTTTATTTTATCAAAGATATATCATGCAGATTTTAAATTCAAATGAACGATAAAGTAAATACTAAACTGATGTTTGTAAATGCATACTATATGGTTTTTTTACCAAAGGTCAACTAAGGCAGACTTTTTTTTTTTTTTTTTTTGTAAATCGTAGAAGAGAAATTTTTTTTTTATGTTAACCTAACGAATTTCACTAATTAATTATTACAAATATAGTAAGTATCTTTGCACAGTAATTGCAGATGGAAGCTAAATATAGATTTTAGTTACTCTAAAAATAACCATTAAATGCTGAAATTTAATAAATGTGATTTAAAATTGTAACATTAGCTTTTGAGTTATTTTGTATGCAAGTCGCACTCAAGTTTAGATTGAATAAGTATGTAGATAGAGTATATTATTAATAGATTATAGCATTATAAATTTGAAATTTGTAGTTAAATTATGAATTTTCTAAATTTTTGTTTTTATTACTTCAAACAAGAATGAAATCAGCAGGAAGCTGATACCAAGTTTTGATATTGTGACGAATTTCAAGTATTCTCCGCATTTCTGAAGGTCAGGGTGATCATTGCAGGCGATTAATCAGTTTCTTTCCATATCGCAGACAGCGAAACAGCCGCTAGGAGACGAAAAGCGTAGTTGAAGTTATAAGGTATTTCTCCCGCCTTCTTAGCAGGCATTTGTAGTGTAGTGGTCAGCACACTGGGCGTGTATTCGAGAGGTCCCTGGTTTGAGTCCCGGCGGGCAACTGCTCATTTTTTTCACTCTCCTGCTTTCAAAAAGTACCTGATGTTTCTACAAGGTAAAACGAAAGGTTATATGATGGAGTGTATATGAAGAACTTGACATTTTCCATAGCATCATATTACAGGTGTGGATACCGCCCAAATGGTATAGCGGTTAGTGGAGCGTACTGCGGTAACGAAGGGCCCGGGTTCGAATACCGGAGAAGGCATGGATGTTTGTAAATGCATTTGTAAAAATGGGACTGGCGATTAATATCTATCATAAAAATCAGTGCTTTTATCCACTTTCAAAATCTTTTTTATTCATCTTTGTACGCAAACATATTAATCTTTCCTAATTACTGCGGCTTCTAATTCTATCATTTTAGGCAGATAGTCCTCGGAGCTTTGCCGTAATCACATAAATCAAACCAAGCCTACCTTTGTTATACACATGAAAGACACGAATGTGCCGTTTTCTATTCGAAAAACCTTACCACCAAAAATAAAATCGGAATACCGTTTTTTGGTGTAATGTCATAAGACACCCATTATTCAAACTCATTTGGCAATAAAATGTTAGGTTTAATATTAAGACACGCAAAAATGAAAGACATTCCAAAGTTTATTGCAATCACTAAAAGCTTATGAGCATCAAAATGTTTTTCAATATACAACAGAAACAGGAATCGGTAACACAGGTATCGTTTATGCAATTCATTTGTATAGAAGAAGGGGCATCACGATCTACAAAAAGCAGTTTTTTTGCAGAATTGCAAGGGATTCCAGGGGCTTACAGGAAAACTGTCCAGAACTACAAATGATTACGAGACACTTGTTTGTAATCTAATCTGAAAGACGAATGGTATTCTGCTCCTCATATTCGAAATTTAATTCAGCTAATGTCCCACTCTTCCAGTATCTTCTCCAGTTCGTATTTCAATGCACGGAAAGGAGGTCGGTTTTCTGGAAGCTGTAAAAAAAAACTCAGTTTTAGTTTTTTTAAATTAAAAAAAGCATAATTTAGAATAAATAACAATAAAATAAAAAGTTTTAAGATGTACTTTCTTTCATTTTGGCATTATGTTCACAATATGATTAAAAAAGACTGCACCATTAAATATCTCAGACTACTGGTTGGAGCTCATGGCTCGTTTAAGAAAAGAATCAAAGGTTAGGCTTTCAAACTAAGAAGGACCTTCATGACGTGACAAATTCAATTTTCACTGATTTTATTAATAGCTTAAATTTTTATACGAGTGTCCTACGAAGAAATCTACTTCTTATCCTATTGAAGATTTCAGGGGGGAGGAAGATTATGTACAATGCAAAATTTTCCCTGAAGAAATCAATATAACTTCAAAAACATGTGGTGAAAGGATAAAATCATCAGTTTTAGAAGTCTGTAAAAATTGAATAGATTTAAATATAAAATGTCAAAATTTATTTTTTCTGCAAATGACATTTCGAAATTCATGGTTGTTATAGCAATGTTTCGCTGACGTGAAAGCTATGAAAAATTTGTGTTCGAAAACGTATTGGGCAAAGCTGTCCGTAACCGTTATATACAATCCTTTAAAGATTTTAACTAATGATATTTGGCTAATTTAGATAGTATGAGAAGAAATTTTGTTCGTTTTACTGATTCTGATACAAAAATTATTTTTTGCATTTATACCATTTATACCCCCTACGAGGCTAGTACACAAATTTAAGTTTTGTATATTTTTCTTAAAAAATGTCGCAAAATCAAAACTATTACACATTTAAAGTGTAAGTTATTTGCTTCATAATGCTAAAAGCAATGTTTCATAATATTAAAATAAACATCTGAACAGGATTGTCGAATTCATGCGAACAAAGAACCACTTTCGTGCAACTAGAATTTCGTTACCTAACGCAATTCAAGCGGGCTGAGTACTACTGCCAGAAGCACTGCTATCGCTACTGTTTGAAGTACTTCCTGCTGGCTGAGTTCTGTCAACGATAAGTAAGTTAAAACTTGTAATTTTCAGATTGAATAAATAAGCAGTTCTGCTGCTTAATTATAGCATATTAAAAAGAGTAGTACGTAGAAAAGTTTTGCATAGTACTAGGCAGTATTTCCTCAGATTTTTCTCATATGTACACGGTGTACTAAAGCACCTAATTCTTTTTGTTAAGATTAAATATGTGCAAAATGTTCGCTTTTATTTGTGGCAGTCAGTGATGGTTTACCCATTGGGCGCTTGCGGCGGACGCGTGGGCTAGGAGGGGATCGGATAAGCTGGACCCAACCAGAATTTCTGGTTATAAATTTCGATAGTTGAAGATAAAAATTCTTTAGAAAAATAGTAAATGATTTTGTGAAAATAATCCGCGCCTCTCACCTGCTCGTCCATGTCTGTATAGTCCGTCGATATCTAAGGACGGCACAGCTCCTGGTGGTAAGAGTTGGGTGACAACTATAATGCGCCTTTACAATCAAGAAGCAGGCAGATGAATTAAACTATAGACAGTACCTTACCAAATACGTAACGCGATGCAAAAGGCCTCAAATTACTTGTTTCTCAAGGATTAGCTTTCCGTGGATCCACTGAGGATATAACCAGTCGTCATAAAGGAAATTACTTAAGTTGTCTTGTGTATTGGCTCAATTTGATGACTTATTATTCGAACATTTACAGTAATATGCAAATAAAGGAAAAGAATACAAGAATTGTCACCTAACGCTAATTTATGTGCCATGTTCAAATCATTCATTAAATCTTGTAGTTAACTTTTCATGCGAGTCCAGCTTGGAAGTAACTGACTATTTTACATCTGTTCAAAGTATTTACACGTTCTTTTCGGCTTCCTCTCAAAGATGGAACTTACTGAAAAGCTGTAAATGTTCTGGAAAACGATCGCTTGAAACTAGATGGTCTGTCCGATTTGAAGCAGTAAACGCTTTACATAAAAACTACAAGGCAATATTTTTTTCAATTAAGCAATAATACAGAAGAGAAATCTGCAATTAGAAACGAAGCGAAGGCTCTGTACAATAAAATGGACACCTTTGAAACAGCTCTGTTAACATCGATTTGGACAAGGATTTTGGAACGAGTGAATGCAACCAACAAAACTTCACAAACCGTGGACTTGACCGTATCATTTGGAGTAGAACTGATAACGTCACTGTTGATCTTTGCTGCAGAAATAAGAGAGCACTTCAACGAAGTCGAATTAGAAACGAAAGACTTTTTTTTTCGAAGGCGTGGATACCACGAACATATACTATAAAGATGAAGTGAAAAGAGCAAAAAGGAGAAAAGTGTTTTCTGTTGAAACAACTGAAAACGAAATCACTTTAAAAGCGAAAGAAAGATTTAGAATTAAAGTATTTAATGTAATATGCGACAATATTACTCAAGACCATAAAAAAGAATTAAATGTTACATAGAAATATAATCAGCGTTTAAATGTTTTTTCACCCTAGACAAGGAGGAAATCAAAATATCAATTCACATTTTGTGTGAGAAATTTAGAAACGATATTGATGAAATCAAAGAATATTTACAAAACGAATTATTCATTTTCAAGAATTGAGCAAAAATTTAAACAAAAACATAATTTATGAAAAATTTGAGTTTGTCCAGAAGGCGAAAGCAACTTTTCAGAATATTCTAACCCTACTGCAAATTTATTTAACGATACCCATTTTTAACGCGTCAGGCGAACGATCGTTTTCTGCCCTAACAAGAATAAAAACATACTTAAGATCTAATTTGAGTTAAGAAAACCTTAATAAATTGCTACTATTATATACAGAATATAACGCACTGTAGAAACTTAATAGTGATACTATTATACGTCAGTTTGTCAGTTCACGAAAAAGAATGTTATAATTTTTGTTATATCTTAGAATGTTATTTTTATTTTTACCTCTATGATGTATTTTAGAATGCTATTTTTATTTTTAATATTTTTATAAGAATACTGTTTTGTTCTTTACTTATATATATATTTTTACAATAAAATTTAAACATTAAAATTTGGTTTCATTTGTTAGCGGATCCAAGAGCCCCTCCTTGAATCCGCCAGTGCCAAGGGTGACCGTAGAACTTCCTGTCGACCAGAGTCCGAAATGAGCTTAAACCGGCACTGGTGGCAGTGCAGTAATATCAAATAATTTTCGTTTCATTTTACTTATCGTGAAGAAATTGATTATTAAAGTGATCATATGGTATAGTGTATTACATCTCCAGTGTCACATCACTGAATTTTTCATATTTTTTATAGTACACTTTTACTCAAAAAGATATATTTTCCCGCATATTAGCCACTGCTTTATTAATTTTTTTATTTTAGTTTATTTACTGGCATTTTTTATGGTCATATAAATATTTGAATTAATAAGTCGATGTGACACGAGAGCTCAGTACAAAATATATGGCTGTAACGGATGATTGTAAGGTTAATATATTTAATGAGCGCCCTATATATATATCATATATAATATATATGATATATATATATATATATGCATTAATTGAACAGATATTTTTATTCTGAACTATGCATAGTTTATCGAAATATAGATAATTTATTTCAATTAACAAGCGTGTTTGTCGGTCGATTGTGTGCGTAGCAGAAAAAGCACCCGTTCAACTTGTGACAGATATTCTTAAGCTTCACAAATATTTATTTTTGAGTTGAACTTTTATTTCATTCTTCTTGGGTCATTACGATACTCGTTCTACCCAGAAAGTTTACGCAAACTGAGTGGTAAGTGGCAGTTATTTTATTGACTAGCAAGCTGCAGTTCGTGTTTTATCGAAAGATACACCGAAAACATTTCAATGTTACTAAAAAAGATATAGGTTTAATTTTAGTGATGTAACAATTGAAAAAACTGAATAAAAAGCAGTTAGAGCTATAGAGAAGGATTGCGAGCCGTAAAATATTTTACAAACTCAAGTATTACGGGAAAAAATAAATAACAATAATAAAAATAAAATACAAATAATTTCCATGTACGCCTTAGAAAGATATGCAGGTAAGAGACTCAATATAATAGATTCTTACTTCTTCCCAGCATGATTTCATTACGACATATACTTCCCAAGGGCAAGCTCTTGGCACATCAAGTCTTTGTCCCCTTTGAACTTGTTCTACCACCTCTGCATTAGTTGCTCTGCCATAAGGAACTTTTCCACATGTAAATATTTCCCACATCAAGACACCTAGAATTTCCAAAGTGTCGAAATGAGAAAATATTTGTGTTGTTGAATTTAAAAAGCAAGCAAGAGGCAATAGTATAATGCACTTTAATATAAGCTAATGATGAAATTTCAAAAAAAGTAGTTTCAGTAACTGTGATTTTTAACACGAAAAGTGATGACACTTATAATTTCTTATCTAAAACTTTTGTGAGTAAAATTGGTTAAGAAAGGGTTATGAGATGAGAGGGTTCTCTGATTATGGCAAAACATTCGAGGGTTATCTGCCTAAGGGAAGAGATGTAAGAAAGAGTTATGAGATGAGAGGGTTCTCTGATTATGGCAAAACACTCGAGGGCTATCTGCTTAAGAGAAGAGATGCCTTCATGGAGGACTTTCTAAGAGTAACTGGGTCGTATTCACACATGGGGAAAACCATCAAAACACCCATGCAGCCAGCCCGTACCCAGGTCGACCATTACCAGTGTTCAGCGACCTTATCGCTCGGCCGCTGCTGGGCAATTCAGTAAGGGAGAGAAAAGTTCGTTAAATTATATCCTGCTTATAAATATGTACAGAATTACCTGAAAGAAATAGTTATTCACTAAACTGTATCTCAGGTTGTTCTCTATTGATTAAAATACACTGTCTCTCCTAAAGTAGACGTAATTTGATGCTCAACCAAAAGCTATAAAAGTATTGGTAGTTGTTTGTCAGGTCATATTTATGCGTTTGTGAGACAATGAGTAAGGCAAAGGAGTTTAGTGACTTTGATCGTAGTAGTACAGTGGAATGCCGCCTTTCTGTGAAATCAGTTCGTGAAATTTCGAACAGTCTATATAAGCCCAAATCCACTGCGAGTGATGTAATTGTGAAGTGGGAACGTCGAGGTAGTGGAACTGCAGAAAAACGAAGTGGCAGGCCGAAGCCAATTAGTGAACGCAGCCGTAAAACTCTGAAATGGGTAGTGAAACAAAATCGTAGGTCCTCGTTGGTTGAAATCACTCAGGGGTTCTAAAGTTCATCAGACGTTAGGATTGTTTGTCGAGAGTTAAAAAGCCTGGGATTCTATGGTCGTGCAGCAGTTCAAAAGCCGAACATCACTCACCAGAATACGAAGTGTCGATTGCAGTAGTGCAAATCTCACCGTCATTAGACTGTGGACACGTGAAAAATTGCTATTTTGGGTGATGAATCTCGCTTTATAATCTGGCACTCCGATGGACGCGTCTGGGTTTGGAGGATGCCCGGCGAGTGCTTCTTAAGTGACTGCATTGTGCCAACTGTAAAGTTTGGTAGTATGGGGGTGTTTTTCATGGTTTGGTCTGGGTTTCTTAATTCCTGTGGTTAGAAACATGAACTCTGAGATGTATGTGAACATTCTGGACAATACGCCTCTCCCAACTCTATGGCAATATTTCGGGGAAGACCCATTTCTTTTCCGGCAGGATAACTGCTTCATTCACGTATCGAGACTTGTGCAGCCATGGTTTGACGAAATGGGTTTTCAAAAAGTGGACTGGGTTTTTCAGACCCCCCCCCCGATCTAAATCCCACAGAATACCTTTGAGACGAATTAGAACGTAGATTACGTAGCCAGCCTAACCGACCATCCGCCCTGCCAGCACTCACTTCAGCTGTGATGGACCCCTGGAAGTCAATTCCTATGGCCACCAATCAGAAACTGGCGGAAAGTCTCTCCAGAGGTGCGCAGGATATCTTCGATGCGAAAGGGGGACCAACGTCACCTCAGGACTCTCCAAGTCCGTACCACTGGGTGTCCAAATACTTTTGACCAGATAGTGTATGTATGTTAATACGGTTCAAACCTTGCGGTAGTTATACAATTAAACTGTGTTCAGTTTACCCTTTAAGCAGTTCGTTACGCTATAATGGGGTGGGAGATGCAAATATTTTCTTACAATGAGCAATGACTAAGATGATTAGACATGAAAATCAGGCTTTGAAAGTTTTCAAACATTTTCACATGCCTGTCTCTAATCTCATTACATTTGGTTGTAAAAACCTTCCAATTAACATCGTTTATTCAAAAGCGTTGTTTAAGCTTCCTGAATTGAATTTTTGTGTAAAAATATTGCTGTATGTTCTTCCATGTGACCTTCAGGTGGTCTGTCCGGTGGCCGCAAAAATCACTCAAGTTACACAATGACATCCAATTCAAGAATGTGGAAACTGACAATTTATCATAAATGTATCATTATTATCCTGTGTATGCAGATTTTTTACTTAGTTGAAAAAAATATATAGTTGCATAAAAGTAAAATTAGACGTAATATTTTCTGTGTGACTTAAATTATTAGTGTCTAGTTTTAGTGCACATTACTAGGTTGTAAATTAGGTTCTATTACTGTTATCATTTGAGAAATACAGACATCTTTTTAACATTTTTCTTTTAACAAGGAAATACCATGGAATAGTCTTAAAAGTAATCTTAATTAATTTAGAACTACTGAAAATCAGTCTTACCATATGCCCATACGTCAGATTTACTACTGAACCTTGTGTATCCTAATACTTCTGGTGGGGCCCATTTTATTGGAAATTTAGCTCCCCCGGAACTTGTGTATTCGTCATCAATAACGTACCTTTGAAAACAAGAATAAAGTTTGAAAATTCAGAATTTTGCATAGAATATTTTTCGCACTACATCTTATTGTACCATTCGAAATCTTGCTTTCAAACTGTAATATGCAAAGCATATGTAAGGAAATTTGACTTTTAGCTGATTTGGAAATCAAAATGACATTTTGTACGGTTTGGTCTAATTAAGATGTTTTGCTCACATTAACTACTTCTCCTAAATACTCGTCTCCTTCCACCAGAATACGAGTATGTAAATAAAAGAAATATGATTAAAAATGTAATGAAAGACAGTTAATTTATTAATGTCCTGTGAAAATTTGAAAATATAACGCTGATTTTTGTTGTTTGACTTCTAAATTAATATTTGTTCGACGTGTTATTGTATCTTAATTACACTTAATCTAATTTAAAAAGCTTGGCTTGAAAGCCCCTTGTTCCAACGAAATTTTAAAGGCAGGCAAATAATAAACAAATTATGTTTTTCTGTGTTCGTTACAGAAATAAATAATAATAATAATAATAATAATAACCAATTAGGGAACAGAATGGTTTTCCTTTTTTAATTTATACAGATACAGCTGAATCTTCGAAACCACATAAAATTCAAGAATCGCCATCGTGACCTAGATTCACTCTTGCACAATGGATTTATTGAAAAGAAAATTATAATATTTTGGGTTTCCTGAGACTAAAATTTCATGCATATACTGTATTTCCTAGCGTACTTTTCTCATTTTTTTATTAATTTTATAGTCCGAACAACGAGAAGGGAAAATTAGGTGTATAATTTGAATTTTGAAGGACGCGGTTGCAGTAAGAACATAATAAATGAGAAATAGTCACAGATAAACTACAAGTAACTATCCCCAATATTATTTCTTTAAAAGAAACCTACATTCCGATAAGAGTAAGCAGTGATGTTAACATTACAATAGTTAATAAGACATCTTCATTTCCCCTTTCTTGTAACTTGAATCGCGTCTGTTCTTACTGTTGTCTCTGGTACTCCATAGGTTTCAAATCATCCATAAATAATTAAAGGAGATTCATGTGCATCTGACTCGGCTAAATCATAGACTGAATGTCAGTTCGCGTTTGCTTCGCTGTGATAAGTGTGTTCTTGTAATAGGCTGGCGTAAAGTTCAAGAGTTAGAAGGATAAAGTTTGGCATGACTTTCGCAGTTTGTCTTTGCTAATCAGCCGAAGAGAATCATTATATGGATGAATCCATTTTAAAATTTAGGGAGGCTGGAGTTCGTTCTGAACGCATTTAGGAAGGTGAAAATTATGGGAATGTTTTTTAATTTTCAGAACCTGGTGTTAAAATACTAGGAGAAAAAATACGTTATCAGTTTCAATTTATTTATAATAATTTTTGTGAAGACGATATTAAAAAAAATACAGATCAAAGGGTAATGCTGATTACAAAACGTTAATACAAAGATATACAAATAAATATCCAATAAAAAGTCTTAGCATCATTTATCATATGCTAATACTAAAGACTAACCTTGCCAATCCGAAATCGGCAACCTTAACAACACTGGCTTCTCCTACTAAACAGTTCCTGGCTGCTAAATCTCTATGAATATAGTTTTGCTGTTCTAAGTATGCCATACCACTACACACTTGAATGCACATATCCAGCAATACTGAAGTCTTCGTGGACAATCGTGCTTCGCTTTTCCTTAAGTACTTAAGCAAGGAACCTGTATCGGAATAAATGTTTTCATGCATTTTAAATAATGTAAGCAATGAATCTTTCAAAATGCATGCAGAAGTACAACTTTTTTTAAATTAATGTAGGACAGAAAAAAATTCCACGTTCTAAGATAAATGAAATAGGTATTAGTATTTGTTTCAGATAACTCTAAAAACTTTGAGGTGATAATAATCTTAGATATATATCTCTTACTAAACTATTCAAGTTATCCACAAATCATATTGTTTCATACTCTCTGGGCAAACTTCCCAAAAATACGAAAAAATATTCATAACTATGCGAAAAGCGAAACGTCACGCCTGTCAGTGAACATTTGTTAGGAGTTTATTGAATTAATGGGACATCAGGTTTTAGGCTTTATTCTTAAAGAAGTAAACGTATCAAAATACTGTTCAATAAGTGTGGATTCCATTTCAAACATCTCGTCCATTGATCAACTGACATTTTATATTCGGCATATTAAAGACGTGAACCAATTAACGATACATTGAATTCATATTGATGTTTCCCCATTACGCAAAAACATTTAGCAGACACAATAATCAATTTTTGTTAATGAAACGGGCATCTGGTTATCATACTGACGAGGTTATTTGTATCTAACACGTTAATTCTGAATTGCAGGTATAAACTTGAGACAAAAATTTGTCATTTAGCGTATCCTCCCTCTCCTGCCCGATGTAAGATCTCATCGTTCGGTAAACATATATTAATCAAGATACAAAATGGTTATTACAATTAATGATACCCCTGCTATATTTAGAGGTTATGAAAAGAATTTAAATTGTTTTCAAGTCTTTATTAGGCAACACAGAAAACGTAGGAAGTAAGAAGTAAATACAGAATTAAGAGAACTATAAAGGGAAACGGAAAAATTAAATGTAAATATTTTGACATTTCTTTCAACGATATTCTGAAGACAGTGAACAAAATAAGTAACATTAACAATGTGAATATAATAATTGCAATGAATCATCTTGAAATTCGTAAAACGTATTTTCAAGAAATCGAAATTTAATGAATATGAATCGAAAGCAAGAAGAGAGTAAAGAGAATTAAACTGTAGCTGTTTAAAGAGCTGACAGCGAAAGCTAAACCTTCGCTTTAGAATATACAACAGAGCAGGATAAGAAATAATTTAAGGTAAAAATGAAACTTCAAAGCGGGAGCAGTCTTTCATATGTCCACTAATCTCAGCGCCATCATAACGTACAAAAGCTTGTTGGTGTGTTACTTATTTTCATGTTTCAGTGCATTAAAAAGGATTAGTTCTGTTGAACTGATAATCAAGCATGAAGAACTTGCCAACATATATGATCAAGATCTTAATTAATATAATTTATTGTAATGGGAATGTGTCCATATCAAATATCCCATGGCTATTGATGAAAATTATGAAACCACCACCCACTGAGTTGTTCAGAAAAATAATTAAGATGGAATTTAAAAAGAGAGAGGGATTGAAGCCAATAAAATATAAATTTCGCAGCTTAATGGGACAGAAAGATTTAAATTCACTCTCTCTACTATGCATTGAAAGTGACATTTTACAGTTAATCCACTCAGACAAGATTATTGAAGAATATTCAGCAAAGAATACTAGCAAATATTTGAGTTCATTGTAAATTTCGTAAACTGTGTTAAGAAACAATAAATGTTTGTATCAACTTCAAGAAGTTTTACTATTATTTTTGAAATATTTGATACAGCTAAGGTCTTCAAAATACGACAAAACCACAGGTGCCATGGTTCTGTTACGAGAGCTCAGGTAAATACAACTATTCTACGAAATTTCTTAGGTTCGATAATGTACGAGTGTAGCTGGTAGTCAGTTTCTAATATATCTTTATTTGAAGTAATTATTTGCGTCCTGAAATATGCAGTTACACCCCCCTCCTTATACATGCAGAGTGTGTGTTTAAAAAAATCTTACTTCAAGGCGTTTTGCATCTAATTTTGCACTTGAAAAGTAACTATGTAGGGTTTCCTTATTTTGCATAACAAATTTATTTTGATATCTTTATCTGAACCTTTATCAACTTCCCCTCACATTCTCTCGCCAGGATGTAAATTTTAAATTAAATGAAGTGCATATTTAAACGGGTGAATCTTTGAGTTTAGTCAGCCGTGCTTTTCCTAGGCAACGCACGTTTCGCTGTTGTTTCGCTGTTACGTTAGTGAGCCTCTTGGCCATTTCGGATTTATCATCACTCCTGTTAGGTTTTTGTGAGTCCACCTGTTAGGCGTAACTTACGTGCTATTCAGCACTACTTGTTCTAGATCTTCACTTGAATTATAGTCTACGTTTTTTGTTTCACCGCTAATTTGACGGTGCTTTTGTACGCACGAAGAGCGTGCCGTTCTGTTAACTATTTTGGATTAATAAAGGGTTATTTTCATCCATCTTCTGTGATGGTAGTTTTTCACGCCTGTGTGAGAATTCGCCAGGTTCATTGTAGGATATAATTACGTTTATATGGAATAAAAGAGACAGACCCTACAGCCGTACTTAGAAGTACTGAATACATTTTTAATACATACGACAAAATATACTCCCCTTCTAACCAATTCACAAAACAATTGATTCACTAAGTCGTTTAACTTACCATGTTTCATGTATTCTGTGACGATACAAATGAGTCTGTGTTTGGTGCAAACTCCATATAACTGAACTAAATGGGGATGCTGTAGTTTTCTAAAAAGATAAATAAAAATTTGGCTTGCTTTTCTTAATTTTAATGAAATAAATTAAATATAAATAAAATATATAACTACAAGCATTAAAATTACAGTTATCATTAATTAGATAAATATGGAAAGTATTAAAATAGTATACTTTTCACAATTTCTTAACATTCAACTTAAATTTAGTCACAAAAATAAATTGCAAGAGTACAAAAAGCATACATCATGAGAGATATGTTAGATGAACAGTTCGTAGACTTCGTGCATGAGTAATGGATAAGAATATCCGTCGCTAAATGCACAGAGAGGTATGTGTTATAAATAAATAAGCGAATTATTACCATTTCGTGATTTTTTTTTAATAAAGTGGAGGAAGAAAGGAAAGGGAAAAAAAAAGAAAATTAAAAAAAAAAAAAAAAAAAAAAAAAAAAAAAAAAAAAAAAAAAAAAAAGGTTTTTTTATAAATGAGGGATAAAGAGGTAATTATGGTAAAGTAAGCCAAAGTTACCTTGTTCAGGTCTCAGGGAGATGTCTCTATTTATGGAGCATATTATTTTATAAATAAAGAGAAAAAACAGTTTTTAGCAGCAATGTCACTAGCAATCTAAAGCTGTTTTCAGTATTTCAAAAAGAGTTAAATCATACTATTCAGATTTTGAAAGTGGACCATACAGCACATGGCAGTTTTGTCAGTTTAAAGTTTTCTAAACAGAGTGTATCCCTTTTGTATCATAAATTTCCATATGAATATTAATGACGCAGTAGATTCATAGATAAGATCCCTGAAAATTTCTTGGTAAACGACCCAGCCTAACTTACACTTACTACAGCCTACTAACGAAGCCTAACTACTACTAATTCCAAAATGTGAGTAGCGAAAAGTTTTGAATTTTTTTTGTTTCGTTAGATAATTATAAATATTTATATGCATTAATTAATTAATTTATAAATTTTAATTAATGTCTTATGATTCCAAGTATTTAGTTATTATTACTTCTACCTGTCTTTTATTTTCGAACCAATTAAATGCAAATCAATTGGATCATTGGCAACTATAAGCATAAGAATCGCGATACTAAACAGTTTGGGAAGCTTAGTATATATATATTCATAGCAAATCTAAACTCGTCAAATAGTAATCATCGCTCTTTTTTGTTTTTTGTTAATCAGTTATCCAGTATTCCAGTTTGTTTAGGTAATTTGTTTAGTGGAATTATGTAGAATTTAGTAGAATTATAGAATTAGAATTTTTTAGTAGATTTTTTTTAGTAGAATTATGTAGATGAAACAAAATTTAAAAATTAAACTGTTCCATAACTAAACTATAAGAGTGCATATCAATTTTACTGAAAAACTTAATAATTTTTAAATTCATTTTTACGTCATAACTTTAGCTTCATCAATGAAATCATCTTCTGACATCGTTCCTTCTTTCATCATTTTTACTGCAACATCTATGTGTCCACGCCATTTGCCTTTCCTCACCACCTGAGTTAGAAATAAATTTAATGATTTAGTGCCTTATAGATAAATAACTAGATTTCACGTTATTTTATTTTTCTAAAAAAAGCCATTGAGCTATATTTATTATTAGTGCTTCTGCGCTTAAAAAGTCATTGAGATATATCTGTTATTAGTATTACAGCAATAGAGAAGAGTTAGAATGATTTATAAAAATAAGCATTACCCCGAACTGGCCACTTCCGAGCTCTTCAAGCAAGGTAAGCTCCGATGCATCAATTTCCCATTTATCTGCCGATAAATAAACAGGTAATTAAAGAACAAAGCTTTCACTCAACGAGACATTATAAAAAATTTCAGAATGGGATACAAGTGAAAGACATCGTTTTTAACATTTTATTAAGGCTTATTTCAGTGTAGGTCTTAACATCGGTAAAGATTTTAAATAGTTATATATTGTGTGAGGATTTATTTATTTAATTTGACTAATAGTTAATTTTAAGTTAAAGCTACTTTCCTTTCACTCTCCTTTTCACTCACGTTGTCCATGCCAGAATGTAATTTAGATAGAGCGAGTTTATTCAGATTAAGGGAGAAAGAAGTGCTAGTGAAGGTTTCGAAAGCTGATTTTAGAGCGTGTTCTGCCTGCTTGAGGCCACGTTGTTACCACGACTGTATCGCGATTTGATTCTGTGGCGTTGACTGCTTCTAGCTATTAAGCTTATCCCGCCGGCTTCTACGAGCCAGAGCCTTTCTGCGAGTTTCTTTATCCTGTAAGCTGTTAGGCTTATCAGGACTTGTATTTCTCTTGATTTGCTTTGGAAACATGAACGGTCCTGAATAGGAGCAGGGAGCTTACTCAAGCTATGTTCAGGAAGGTGTGAAATAGACAACACAAGCAGGAAGGGTATACGAAACCCTTTATTTTCTATCTTTTACAGGTATTTCCGAAATTTCGGAATATAGAGACCAACCACTTGTGGTCTGGACGTAAGAATATAAAAGCTACTAACTAAAAACTAACTTTGAATTAGTATACAAATGCCTAGCACTAAGATTGGCCTTTATTTAAAGAAAGGTATATATGTAGTACGCCGAGCTGCTTAACTACAATACGTTTGCAAATAACAAGAGGGCTAAACCTCTGGCCTTAAAGGCAACCAGCAACAGAGTGAAAACTCGTAAAACTACAGTGGCAAGCGGCTTGCTTCCTATAACTCCTTCCTCTCTCTCTCTCTCTTGGCAAAAAGCCACAACTTAAGTACTTGGCGTTAGCAAGACAATTTGCATAAACAAGTTAAAGCCTTTAATTCTGGCCGGAAGTAGAAAATAAGAAGTTATAGTACAGTTTTAAATAAAATAAACGTTAGTAAAACTTAGGATTCTTACAAGCTAGTCTAAATTACATTTTATTTTAAGTTCAACATTACTTGTTTTAAGTCAAGTCATAAGTGTTGGCTTATGTAAACCCAAGTGGGGTTGACAGCCAGTTCTTTGTGATCAAATAAAAGGACTATTTATAATTTTCTTCTGACTCTGTCTGCCTACTGTTAAAAACCTGAGGAAATCCCTCTACAGTCTTTCCGCAGCTCGTGAGTTTATGTTACCAAAGCATACGAGACTCTATAACTGTAATAAGGTAAGGTCGTAACAAAACTTCTCAAATATTCGATTTCGTTATCTTTTCATTTACTCTTGTACTTCCATACATCTTCTTAAATTATTACAGCTGTGGTATAAAAACAGCAGAAAGAAGAAACGACTTAGCTGAATTATTTTTGTTCACCGTCATTATATTATTACCAACAACATATCTTCTGTGAGTGAGAGGAAAGGATGACTAATATAATATGAAAAAATGAAAGCCATTATTTGACTGTTGGATCTATCATTCTTTTTTAAATTTACCGGTTCCTCCAAGGAACGCGTATATTAGTATTTTATCCACCTTTTATCATTAGGTCTTAAAAAATGTTGTTTAATGCTCGGATACGAGATAAGAAACATCAAGCAAGTAATAAAGTAAATTCAGTCATTATCTTTTAATATCAGCTGTCTTTCACAGTATGCTTCAAATTATTACTCTGTTTTAAAATATAAAATAAAACACATAAACATGCAAAAAATTGGTAATTAGTCAGGAGTAAAAATTATAATTAATTGGTGAAATCTTGTTACCTTTTAAATTATTACAGAGAACGCAATACCGTACAGAGGTTGTCCAACGTAATACAGAGAACGCAATACTGTACAGAGGTTGTCCAACGCCTTAAAATATGAGGTGCAGGAGCATATTAGCATCCAAAACTATTTGAAATCTTTTTTAAATGGAGGCATACAATTTCTGAACAATGGTAGCAGATATTTTGTAGGGTTTTGCTTGTGTAGATGCTTAATTAATGTACTTCAGATCCTATCACAAGGGAGTTATTTCTCAAGTTGAATCAAAATGACTAAATCATATGAAGGTTAAAATAACCTTTTCATTAACTCTTTAAATTTAACAGAAAGCACCATTTATTCTACAAAACAAAATTTCGCAATTTGCGGGTATTTAAAGTAACATGAGTTGAAGATTAAATTTAAGTAATGTAATCGAAGACTACACAAAGTGGTCTATTTAAGCTGGCTCAGTTATTTAAACAGCTCGCATTAAGCGTCGGCTAGCAAACTGGCTAAGCCGGAATAATCTCGGCAGAGCTGGCGACAGTACGTAAACTGCGAGCGAGGCTGCCACTCTTACTCTAAATGAGGAAGATTTGTAATTTTATCATCATAGTCTTCAAACTGCGAATGAGCAGTCTGACGTCGATGAAAATGGGCATTATGAACCTGAAAAATGCAGCTATCAGTTGGAAATTCTTCTCTTCCTTGTCGCTTTTAAGTGAGGAACAATATAAAAATTTTTGCCTTCCCCACTGCGTGTTGTATGGCGTAATTAGTAGTCCATCCAGCTGGCAAGTTACCGATCCGAAGTTTGAATCCCGGCGCAGGCATAATTCATCTCCCACATCTCCTACTCCGAAAAGCTGATAGTTTTACAAAATGATGTACAACATTGAGAAGGATTATGGTATTTGTCAAGCGCGTAACTGTCTATGTTTTATTGGCAAGCTTTTAATTACATTTTCGCAATGTCTGGCGATTAATCGAAGCCAATTTATGCAATTTAATTCGGATTTTCTGACATCTAAAAAAATAATTTCACTTTTTCTTTAGACTGTCCAAGAAAGCTCTTGCGAATGATATGTTTTGCCTCTCCTACGTACGTAAGAAACAGATACCTTACGTGAGCCAATGAATATATTTCTGTGAAACTCATTCGTTTGGAATTATTAAGAACTCCAATATATATATTAATTTAATACAATGTAAAATAAAATACAAAATACTTTTAAAATTCATTCCATATTCAGTTCGGAATAAACCATATACAAAACCCAAAAAACAGAAGCACAGTGATAAACTGGAAGAAATTGGCGGGGGGGGGGACAAAATTTGCCAAAATTAAAATGAAATTTATATCTTTTGCTGCATCATCAGGCGGTTGGTGCAACAGAAGAAGTAAATAAATAAAACAGCCTGTTACAGAACCGATAAAGACACAAAATAAAGTTTAAAATTTAAAATTTTAAAATAAAGTACACAGAAAATAAAATAATAAAAGAAGTTTTAGACAAATTTCCTGAATATATTCTCCACAATCTCTATCACATTTCTTAGCTTAGATACGGATGCAACGGTATTATGTAGATATGTAGTCATATAAACATTTTTCGCTGTATTTTTTCTATAAATATCTTTTTGGATTAAAAATAAGTGTTAATTTATCAGACGCAGTAGCAGTATATGTAGGGTGATCCATAACGCTTGGGCATAAAACGTATCTAAACAAGCACTTTTCGTCCTACAATGTATGGGCACAACTCAAATATGAATTGGTAATAGGCATTTTGAAGTAATGCCATTTATAGCAAAGATTTTTTTTAATGAATCAGTAGGAGGCTGACATGCATTTAATACACACATCTGTGGACGGAATGTGAAGAAAGCGCAAAGTCTGTACCGGCATGCTTTCCAATAAGACAAGTGCCAGATCATAACATTTTCGAGCGATTGCCAATGCCTACGCGAAACGAGTTTTTTTAGCCAGGATCTTACAAGATATAGTGCGTGAAAGGAGTATGAGGACATCGTGTTACAGAAAGAGTTCTTTATAGGGTTAGAGATCGTCTCGAATGCAGCATTTGAGAAATTTTCCATACCGTAAATGTGCTCTAGTCCACTGGGGCGTTTGCAAGGCGAACGATTACACCCCGTCAATGCACAGAGGATGCAAGCTTAGACACCAGCACATTATCAGCCTCATATCGATTTTGCTCATTGGCTCCTTCAGCAGATTGCACGCAATGACCAATTCACTTATGAATGTAGGTGAGGAAATTTTTAATTATAGCAATTCTCATGCGTGGGCAATCAGTAATCTTCAAGCCACATGTCCCCATTCGTACTAGTAACGTTTCTTAGCAGATATTTGGGCTGAAATCGATCAGGCCCGTATCTTGTGCCAGGCCACTGAAAAGAAGATTGTACCTAATAACTTTTAAAAGAAGCCTTTCTAAATATTACTGAATTCTCAGCCAGCAAATATAAGACCCACCAGTGGCAGAGTGGTTAAGGCTGTTTTGCCACTGGTGTAAAGAAAAGAAAATATTAAATTGGGGGGGGGGATTTGAACCATACCATTACTAAAAACAAAAATGCATTTTTATATTTGAAATCGACTTGTACATTGATAGCCGACAGAAAATCAGATAGAATAACTAAACTATTAGATAGAACGTCTGAAAAATTGAATATTTGATAGAATATTGAAAATTTTATATAAGACATTTTTATTACATTTATGGTCCATATCCCAAAGAAAGGAGACTAAGTTAAATATATTGGGTCAGTCCATAAATTCGTGCGCATTTTTTGGTCAATTTATATATAATATAAAAAACACAATTTAACATTTTAATCAATTATATATTTTCCTCCATTATCTACAATGTCTCGCCATCTTACAGGCAGCATTTTTATGCCATTGCTGTAGAAAGACTCTGGTTTTCATGAAAAAAAAAAAAAAAAAAAAAAAAAAAAAAAATGAAAGTTCGTTGTGTACATACTGTTTAGAATTTAATTTTTTCCCCAGTAAAAAATTTTGTAAGGGAGTCTGGGTTTTCTCTGGGGAGTAAGCAGGATGTGCCAAAAGCTCCCAATTAAATTCACTAACTTTGTGCAGCGTTGTTCGAGCCGTATGCGGTCTAGCATTATCATATGATGAAACAACACTTTCTTGATACTCACCAATCGTCGGCGTTTTTTGATCAATTCTGAGTTTAGACGGCAAAGTTGTTCACTATAAACTTCTGAATTAATCATTTGATTTGGCTCTAACAGTTCAAAACGTCCTGAACGGGGTTCATCATAAATGCTGCTTTTTCCAACTTTAAAATTTTAAAACTATTCTTGGACAGTCCTTACACTAATAGTGTGTTCACCATGTACACTATTAATTTTTATCGCTGCAAGCCTGGCAGATTCACCACACGAAAATAAAAAATGTAGCACAGCACGTTTGTACTGATTATCTATATTCATCTTCTATGGGTACTAAAATGCGCTCGATATTTACAAAAATTGGTGATGAACTGAATAATATGTTAGTCAAACGATGACAAGTTTCAATAGGTTTAAAATTGTATTGTTTTAGTAAATGCGTCATAGTGAATTCCACGCACACTCTTAATGCGCACGAGCTTATGGACTGACCCTATATATATATATATATATATATTATCCAAAACAGGAAGATTAGGTTAAATATATATATATATATATATATACACATACCGTTTTCACTCCTTATCTGTATAAAAGCGTTATTTCGGCGGCAATAAAGAGTTTAATTTATTGAAATAACCGAGTCCTCTTCCGAGAAGCACAATCTGAAAAATTATTCTGACTGAAGAAAACTTCGGCACTTTTTTCATAAAAGTGCGGGCAGCTTTATAACAATCCAGAGGCTTTCAAGGTCCCATAAGGGCTTTGAAGATTTATTTAATCGCCTGTTAATTCATTATTTAGTAACAGAAAAGAAAATAAAGCTCATAACAGTACCGACGGTCATTTTCAAGGGAAAACTGATCTTCAGTTTGGGTAGGCTTCCTTAAGCCTTGGCACCGTTATGAAGATTTCCGTCTTTTCGAACAGCTGTACACTTGGATAAATGCGTGGCACCGTTAAGAAGCTAGTCCCAAATTTTACATCACAGAAAAGTTTTAAATATAGCAACGGCAAGTAGGGACCCTGTTTCTCAAAGTCATAAATAAAGCGTAAAAGAATAAAAATATTGCATATATTTAAATGGCTCGATTCACGCTGTTTGTAGAACTAAAAATATGGCGGTAGTAAACATTAAAATGAATATTTGAAGTGCCCATCCCATCTACTTAAGATTCATGAGTTTTCAGTCCTAAACTTCGTAAAGTGTATATTATTAAACTAGTTATGAATAGTCCTGACTTACCGTGACTAAGTCCAGCGGTCGTTGGAATGCATGCCACGTGACTACTGGGCGTCTGCTTGAGGCGCGTGGCCAGCCCTGCGCTGTTATGTTTGTGATAATAAATAAGGTCTTCAACTGTAGGAAAAGCATGCTTTTCTGATAAATAGTACTCCCCTTTGGCATTTGTCTTAATGTGATAGTGCTTCACGTGAGGTTGAGATCTGTAACGAAATTGGAATACTTTAATATATGACAATATGTCTATTCATAACAGCAAAAAAATGACGGTAGACTGTTTCTTTCAGGTTAAGGAGTCGCTGATGTTTAATGCATAGGATTACTAACGGAAGTGTGAGGATGTTATAGAACAAATAAGACAAACAAAAGAGTTTATACACATATATAGTTTGTTTTATTTTATTTTACTTCTTATTACATTTATTCATTCAAAATGGATACTAAATGTTAAATCTATATATAACTACCAAGTGTACTTGGACAATTACTTGGCACAATATTAAAATTAAAATGATGTTTTATAAAATCAAATGGCTTTTCATTTTGCCGGACGTCTACATTGAAATCTCCCATCAAAATAATAGTAACAACTGTATCTACAGTAAACTCTTCATCGATCAATAATGTAGTTTCTGAATATTTCATCAATGCACTAAACAAGAACATCCTCAAATCTCCTGGATTAACAGTTGGAGGAATACATACGGATGGTAGAATAAATCTTGATTGACCATTAACAATAATATCAACCATACAAATACCGCCTTCTTCTGAATCCTGTATTCCCTTACGCTGCTTAACAGTAAACTCTATTGTACACAACTTGCTACACTCATCAAATTTTATAAACAGCAATACTACTAGCTAGGCGAAATAAAATAAAATACTGCAAACACTACCCGAACATACTTGTCTACAAGACGACCTTGCCATTCATACAGGGTCGCGCATGCGCACGGAGCTTGCACTTCATTAAAACTTTATTGACGCGTTTCGATGCGTATACTTTTGGCTAATTTAATTTCTGTGTGCGTGTTTGCTTAAGTGCTGTTTTATCTATCTAATAAAGTATTCAGATTGACTGTAACATTTCTAGTTTCGAAGATATAAGCATTCGCGAACACCTCAAATAGCACCTTAATTTTTGCTTTCACATTAGAGCATTGTGGAAGAACGAAATCCAACGTTAAAAAAAAAAAAAAAAAAAAAAAAAAAAAAAACTTTACAAAGGCATTTTGCAAACAATTTTTAAAGGCAATTTACTGTCCTTCATAAATCTTTCGTAATGTTTGCTTTATAACTCTGAAATTTGTGTTATGCAAAGGTGCTAGAACAGTAATGTTAGGAAACTAACAGCACAGAACTTTTAATATTCGCTTGAAGTCTTTTGTGGCTCATGTTAGAGATATCGGTTTTAATACGTGCATCTGGTCCTTTCAAAAAAAAAAAAAAAAAAAAAAAAAAAAAAACGAGAAGTTCTTATCGAAGGCATGATCTAGAGACTGATGGAATTTGGGCTTAGTTCTTGACAATGACAAATATTTATAGTTTACTTTAAAGAAAAAGGGAGGGATATGGATATTTTATTTTACACCGATATCAGAAGCTAGTACAGCGATTTGTCAAACTCAGATTGGAAAAAGAAAGATTTTAGTCGTTTTGCACTTAAAAAAGTTACTGACAAAAGTTATAGAATTTAAGGGCGGGATGAAGTAATTCCACGGCAATATCATAATTTAAATATTCCCTGAAGTTACTCGTAATTCAAAAGTTAAAACATCAGCGATTAAGAATGCTGTTACTAAATTTTAGCTAAATGTTTTGCTCAGGGACTTTTTATTTATACCAATATAATAAAGAAAAAATAACACGAAAATTGTCCAAATTTTGTTGACGAGTGTCTGCGTATTTTCATTTAGTTAAGTGAACTGTGTCAAGGTATTCAAGTTCTTGTTATACCAGCCATCTTTTATTACAGCCTTCACGGCAGTAACAATGCAGTTTATGCGATCTTGTAGATTTGCATCTAAAAGTGGCATTTATACAATACCGTATCTCTAAATGAGGACGTTGCATAGCGTAAGATCCAGTGATAAAGGAAGCAAGCTGTCGAATATCGAATCTTTGGATTTTGTTACAAATTCATCGCCCCCCGAAACACTTCATTAAAAAAAAAGAGAGAAATTCGCTAGCAGAGTGAATGTATTCTATAATGTTGACAAGACTGATAATGAACTGTAAAAACCGACTGAAATCATCATACTCTTCTCATAGAACCATAATGGCACATTGATGTTTAATAAGTTACGGCAAAACTCAAGAAGAGATATCAGCCACAGGTGCTCTTCATAAAGATTTTTCTAGGAGAAAGTGTCTTTTATTTACCTCCAAAACACTGTGACGTTTAGGTTTAAGTTTTATAAATAACATGTTACTGAATTTAATTTCTTCATTTCTGCCTCTTTTCGTCACCAGATTCTCTCATTCCAGAATTTATCCAGAATTTATGTAGATTTATGAGGCAAGCAGTTTTACTATAAAGTTTAGAACTTTACGAATACGTGTGTGAGAGTCTGGCCTGCAGTCCGCTGCCTTGCCGATTATAACAAAGTCTTGGGCAACGCTAATGCTAGTTCTTGCTGTGAATACAGGCAAAGATATTCTTGAAGTTAGATCCTGTTTTATTAAGTGTATGCGGGAAGCTCTGTCCCGGTCTGGGTAAAGCTTGTAGTCTCTGCCCAGGTTAGATTAAAATATAATCATTTAAAAGAAGCTTTGTGTTGAAACTAGGTTCAGGTTGTCTGGTAATTTTAAGTTTGTATATTTTAATTTCATTACTCACAAATGATGAGGCAGAATAAACTTAACATATGTTACCGTGAAAGACCGAAATTGGAGAATGTCGACTTTCACCGGAGAATATCAACATTCACCAAATACGTCGGTGAAAGACCGAATATTTCACCACATTCTTGTATACTCAGACCCTCACCGGTGTATGTCGACAATCACAGATATGCTCTTGTGAAAGTCGAAAAGAGAGGTCATAAAGCGCCATAATAGTTTAAGTTGTTGCAATAAATAAGATTTGCATCACATAATTTAGTAAGTTTTTTATTACTGTTATTTTATTTTCTCATTTAGAACGTACTGTATAATTAAGTAAGTTTTTAACTTCTATTATTTTTTCTCATTTTGAATGTATTGTGTGTTTTAGGTTCTCATGTTCTTAAGTTCTTATTTCAAGTTTCAAGTGCATTTATTCGCGACTGAATTACGGAGAAGAAAATTTAATATTGTTATATGTTCAACATTCACCATTGGTACATGGTGAATGTCGACATTCACCGGTGTAAGTCAGAAATAAGAGTATTTGGAAAATATTTCGGACATACACCAAGAGACTATGTGAATGTTGACATTCACCGGTGAAAGTCGACATTCTCCAGATTTCGGTGTTTCACCGTAACATATATATATAATATAATATATAATAGTATTTTACTTCTGTGTCTATTTGCTAAATGGACAGATGATAATTAACCTCACAGAATACAGGTAATACCTTATTGAGATTGCAATTGTCTCAACTAAGAAGTTGGAGCCCATGGCAGGTGTTAAAACATAACCTGCTTTTTTACGTGACGTCCTAAAACTCGAAGATTTCCTTTTTTGATTTGATGGCTATCGTATTAATAGCTGCTTACTAGATACAGAAATCGGCCAATCATCTTGAATAATCTTGTGTTTTAAAACACTCAGGTACCTGTCAACGAGTTCGGGGAATTTACGTTCACAAGTTCTTATAAAAATCGTATTCAGGACCATTCATAAGAGAGGCACATGCATATTTTAATATTAGAAGCGTCTTTAGTGAGGTTCCAGAAATTTGATGTTACGTGTGGTACTACTGCTCGCATTTATTACGAGACTAACTATTTTCACTTTTTGTTTTTTTCCTAGTCTCTAGGCAAACCATTCAAGTAAAGTTTAAAGGTCTTAAGTTTTACTAACGTTTATTTTATTTTAAATCTTTACTATCACTTCTTATTTTCTACTTCCGGCCAGAATTATAAGCGTGAAGGAGTTTATGCAAAGTTGTCTGGCGAACGCCAAGTATTTAAGTGTGGCCTTTTTGCCAAGCAGAAGAGAGGAAGCCGTGAGTTCGAAGCAGGCCGCTTACCTTAGAAGTTACGCAGTTGCTACTTTGCCTTCCAGGCCAGAGGTTTTAATCCTCTTGATAAATTAAACGTATTGTAGTGTTCACAGTCTCTGTGCTACATACGCTTCCTGTTATTATAAGGCCAATCTTATTCTAAAGTTAAATTAGAGTTTAGTTTTATTTTGATATCTTTTAAGTTAGACCCCGAGTGGAGGGTCATTGTATTCCGAAGTACGGAAGTCATTGTATATAAGAAAAAAATAAAGGGTTTTGTATACCCTTCGTCTGTATCCTGTCTACTTACTACAATTAGTGAACATAGCTTTAGTAAGCTCTCTGTTCTAGTCAGGTCATTGTATGTTTCCGAAGAAGGTTAGAAGAAACATTGAACCTGATAGTGGCGCCCCGACGAAGAATAACCATGGCCGAGTTTCAAGAAGAACCTGTGCTGCCTGCAGAAACAGGCTCAGAATCCAGAAATGCCAGCTGCCGCCCTGGAAGGATTTGGGTACATCGTCCAGACCATGCGCGCTTCGATGAAACCAGAAGCAAACGTTTAATGGAAACTCACAGGTAACCAGTTTTTTGGAAAAATTGGATGACCACTTCATGCTCTACCCCGTGCACGAGTTTCAAAAAGTTACCTTAGCTACCAGCGCTTTGAGGGGCCAAGCGCTTAACTGGTTCAAATGTATCGGCAGAAGTCTCTTGGGTCAAGCAGGAAGTCCCACCTATACTTACGAAAATTTCAAGACTGCCCTACTAAAAGCCTTCCCTGTTGTAAGGGATCGTGCGAAATTAGAAACAGGAACTTTTCAGTATATATCAACAAAGAATCGGAAAACCTCTCGAGCTTTATTTTAAGAAAAATTCACGTTTTCAAGCTCTTGTATGGAAACCGTCCGGATCCTGAAATAATTCAAGTGATTTTGCCGAGGTTACTACCCCAAGTGCAAGACTTTATTGAATTGAGAAAGAAATCCGACTACACTGGAAAAATTATTTGAGCTAGCAATCCAGTTTGAAAGTAGAAGAACGGCG